ACCATGGTAACCGCTAGAATTGAAAACCCAGCCTCCGCCTATCGGTGTGCCGCCATCTGCATGGTCTCTGCCGCGTGCTAATGAGTTCCTCTGCTCCACTTTCTCATATTTTGAACTGAAGTCTCTGTGCAGACAAACGATATGGAAGAATAGAATAAAAGAAAATAAGAAGAATTAGATTAACATTTGGCATGATGTGAGAACATTAGACTAATAGTTAATAGTTAAGAAAGTCAATTAATCTCTTAGTTTAATGGCAGAGAGTATCAATAGTATAATGACAAGAATATAATTTCTCTCATCTTTGTCACGTCTTTAACGTCTGAAGTAAAAGTTTAGTTGAAATGAATAACAAAAAGACATTGGAACTTTATTCAAGTTTATCTTACATGATGTTAAAATATGCAGTGACTTTATAAGGTCAACAGGTATGAAACACGAAGAAGACAAATAGAAGAAGAAGAAGTAGAAGAAGAAGAAGAAAAAGAAGAAGAAGAAGAAGAAGAATACATACTTCTTTTTAAATTCGTAGTATCGTGCATTTCTCTTTCGTTGTCGTCTTCTATGACAGCATGCGACGATGATGAAGACTAAGATGAGGAGAACGAGACACGAACCCGCTGTAGCACCAGCGATGATGATCAGGCGAAGGAATGATTCTGAAGAAGAATAAAAAATGAAAAAAAGTCTTATGACCATCTGTCCGAGTATTGAACAAAAATGTAACTCATCATTATTGAGTGGTCCATTCACAAACACAAATAATGACAACGAATATGTCAAATTCCTATATGCCTACACTGGGCTGATGGAGGAAATTATGTTTATGAAATATACAACAAGTTGATGGCGATATATAACGTCTCGTGTAGACAGCTTCTTAAGAGTGTTTAAGATTGTGTTACTAAAAAAAAAAAAAGGGGGGGGGGGGTGTTTTGTGTGATAAATTTGAGTCGTAACTAATGATATCCCGAATATCTGTTGTCGAAGAAGGCGACTCTCTCATTTCAATATTGAAATAGAAAATACCCGACCGTTAAATTTACCTTATACAGTTCACTAAATTATTCATACCCTAACCAAGTTTTGTATATTTAACAAATATGTGAACATTTGAGTTGTTCCGATTTATTTTTCCCGGAGAATGTCCCTAACCCAACCAGTCTACTTTCCATTCTTCAGGCGCGAAAAAGAAAAATATTTTATATATTTATATTACCAGGGGTATGAATAATGCAGTTGTTAACTATAGTTTCATGGTATAGCAATCATCTTTAGAGCTCAATATCCATGATACCAGTTTTCCCTTTAAATCAAAACGCTCTATTTTTCCATGCGACCTTTCTGCACTTGACAGTATTTTGATGACCTCTTGACCCCGCTTGTCAAGTTCACCTTCCTAGTTAACGTCCCAAGGCTAGTCTGACTACCAGCCGTCAAATTTGAATATCTAAATATAGGTTACATGTAATATTTATACGGTGTATTGATAGTTATATAGCGCATCACTTATGTCTCTGTTTAAGCAAATACAAACATACATGAAGACATTCGAATATAGCAAATAAATCATATGTTGTATCCGGAATATGAACATCTCATAGTAGAAAGTGATGCACATACAGAAGCCTACACTGTGGAACAGACTACGATTTATGCCTATAATTGGAGGAGTACATGCACTCTTGACTTCAGTCCTCTTTTTTTCGACTTTATTGGGTTTTTTGTTGTTGCATGTTTGAGCATAAAATAATTTCTTAAGATGAAATCATTGTTTTCAGCAACTACACGAAGGGGGTATTTTCACAAAAAGCATGGTATGTAATAGACAGGTTTACTAACATATTCAAATTTATGGATGTTTCTTTCCCGGGGACCTAGTGACGAGGTATTCCATTAACATGTTAGTAATTAATTAACTACAATACTTGGAATCCAGTCTGCACACTTTACTTGATGCTATGTCGGGATAGCCTCAGACAAGCTTTCAGGTTGCCAAGAACAACCTTTGTTTAAACAGTATGCATAATATATGAACATGCTAGTAGCTAGACCGGTCCATTCCCTCTGAAAACAATTATTATGTATCACAACAAAAATATTTAAACAAATTCGGGGGCTACTTTTTTAAGCTTGCTTGCATGAAAATAACAGTCTTTAATTTGTTTTGCATTGAACTCTATTCACAATTTTTTTTTCTTTCTTTTTTTTTTTTTTTTTTTTTTTGGGGGGGGGGGGGGGGGCTCTTTTATGACTTTTGGGGGCTTATTCTCCTCCGAGCCCACGTGTATTTTCTCCCTAGTAATGTATCAAGTTGATATGTTATGTGTACAGTAGATTTGAGTGAGAAAAATGAACGTGAACTCGAACTTGAACTTTCACGATACTAATTGGATCCCAGGTAATACGTTGCCCCCGATAAACATTACGTAAAATGAAGATAGGTTATGGAAGGTTTGACCATTAGACTGACCCCTTAGCATTCCATAGAGATTTGCTTACTCGGCTGATATTTTGACGACTGCAATCAAAGATGAGTGTTACTGAAATTGATATCATGTTGATATTACAACAGTACTCGTCCTCAGCTTAATGCGTTACCAGAAAAATTATCAATGCATTACCAACGGGATGTTATCGTTCGAAAGAGCTCACTAAGAAAAAGATTAGGATAGATCTTTGAATGAGAAGTCCACGATGATTTTAAGTTGATTTAAATAGGAGCGGAAATATGGGAGGGAATGGTTTGTGAAAGTTTGAGCAAAAACCCATTGAACATGTATTATATTTTTAATAAAATTGTGATAAATCAAATATAAATTACGAGCTCATCTCCCATTTGCCAGGTACTAAAAAACTTCAAACAAATATATATTTTCTCTTAAGAAAATTTCCATTAAACATTCACCCTAAATATAATTATAGCAAATCTGTTTTCAAACTGTCACTAATTTGTTTCTTAAAACCAAGACAATAAATAACATTATCAAGATGGACTTCCCCTTCAACGCTTTTGATGCTTTAAACTGTATTCAATAATTCAACAGAGTTCAGTTAAACAAGATACTGACTGACAACTAAAAATGTCGTAGATGTCAAAATAAATTTATAGAGAGAGAGAGAGCACACTACTTGCCTGCTAGTATTACATATCAATACATTTTACATCACAACAATTCCTCATCAACATCGGATTCAATCTCAGAATCAATTTCCGGTCTTCCCTAAACACCCGGCCCTGTTATTGCATTTCGCTGACCCTCCTTTTATATTGCTGAGCCAATATCTTGGCAGTTTATCATCTCCACACATATTGGTTTATGGGAGACGCCGTTAGAACCAGCGTCACGTCACGGCACTCTTCCCGCCTTAAATGCGCAATAAATCATAAACGGAATTGTAAAGACTCTTAGGAATCAAAGATGTGTTATGTGGATGGGATGGCGCATCTAGACCAGGACATCGGGAGGGGTAAAACATAGTTGCAGTGCCCCATGTAGTTCAGTAAGCAAACTGCATTTTAAGAGCCCATCTCTGCCCATCTCTGCTTTAGGTATCGCTCCTTTGTGATTTTTTTTTTGTTTTTGTTTTTTTGTTGGGGGGGGGGGGTTCTTTTGCGAATGTGCCTATATTCCATGCAGTTCCATATGCATCTCACACTTGACTTACGACTGATTCCTAACCTCGCTGCCAACTACATGAAGATACAACGTGGTTTATCTTTTATTTTTCTTAGTCGGAAATCTTTCGGGAGGGGCAAATTACCCCCTTGCCCCCTTTACCCCTTCTGATAGGCAAATGTGTGGAGATCTGCTATAGCCATCATGCATTGGTGTATTTTTGGCGTCTGGATCAGCTGTCACATTGGGCATAGCGCAGATTCCATACATCATAATTCTCTAAGCATACCCCCATACCACCACCAGGGCCCGGGTGCACATCCGCCCGGTTTGTATTTCACCTTGGCAGGCAAGAAGGGAGTTTAATTGGTTGCCAAGTTTATGTGATGGTGCTATGTAGGTGGATGGAGCTTTGAATGAATATTTGTGAGATGCTTTTTTACTCAAATTCACAGCAGCTGAAGGGATGAGGGGGGGGGGTGATTAAAGTAATTTTGTTTCAAAGTACAAAGAAAGAGAGTGAATGGAGAAGGATAAAAAGTATGTAGGTGAATGGAGATTTGAATGAATATTTGTGAGATGTTTTTTTTACTCAAATTCACAGCAGCTGAAAGGATGAGGGGGGGGGGGGGGGCTGATAAAAATAATTTTGTTTCAAAGTACAAACAAAGAAAGAGAGTGGGGTGGAGAAGGATACAAGGGAGACATTGATATTGGAGCAGAGATGGAGAACAAATAGAGACAGAAGAGAGATAGGGTAGTGGAGGAGACGAAGGAACGTATAGGGAGGGAGAGAGGGAGAGAGAGAAAGAGAGGGAGAGAGAGAGGGCGAGGGAGAGAGAGAAGGCGAGAGAGAGAGAGAGAGAGGGAGGGAGGGAGAGCAAGAGAGAGAGAGTGGAAGAGAGAGGAGAAGGTTGGGGTTAGAATGTTCTTTAAAGCCTAATCTCGAAACAATGCAATCCGATTTGCTTTTTCTTTCACTAAGCTAATCGAGTCGACTCTTCATCAATGACACAATGTAAGCCTAGTTGATGACATGGGGCAATCTATTAAGGGTCATCTTATGTGTTAGACAGAGAAATGTAGAGGGTGAGACAGGGTTGGGAAAAAGACGGGTACAGAAACATGAGAAATGAATTCGGAAAGGATGTAAGAGAGCGAGAAAGGACAAAGGAGATGGGATGGGAAGAGGGGGAAGGGGAAGAGGGGGAAGGGGAAGAGGGGGTGGAGGGGGGGGGGGGGGGGGGAGTTTGATGAGAGATGATGACAAGAAGGTATTTCATTGATTATATATTTGGTTTGGTCTAGGCCATCCTCAGTCTGTGTTATGACATGATGGCACCCGATGCAAACACGGTACCCACCCCTATGGTGCACAGAGATAAAGGATGACGATGTATTGTCCATTAAATAATATCTATATCTGCATTATTACATTCACATTCAGGATACTTACACCTACTATACGAGCATAAAGAGAGTGAGTGCTAGAGAGAGAGGGAAGAGGATTGAGAAGAAGAAGAATAAGTAGAAGAAACAGAACAAGGAGAAGAAGAATAAAAGAAGAAAAAGAACAAGGAGAAGAAGAAGAAAAGAAGAAAAAGAACAAGAAGAACAAGAAAAGGAGAGGAAGAAGAATGAGAACAAGAAGAGGAGAGGAAGAAGAATGAGAACAAGAAGAGAAGAGGAAGAAGAATGAGAACAAGAAGAGGAGAGGAAGAAGAATGAGAACAAGAAGAGGAGAGGAAGAAGGAGAATGGGAAGAAAGAGAGGGAGAGAGAGAGAGAGAAAGAGAAAGAGATAGAGGGGGTGGGTGGCAGTGATTGGGAGGGGGTTGTGTAAGGATGGGGGTGCAGGGCGTATAGGATACAGGAAAGGTGAGGGGGCAAAGAACAATATTTACGAGGATGGAATATTTTATAAGCCAATGCTTTCTACAGTTACTATTATTGATTCATTTTAATCGAAAACATACTCACATTCGTGAAACTAAATATCAAAATGGAAATAATAACTGCAAACCGAGTTCACGAGGGCATTAGAACCCCGGGTCTCGCACGAAAACAGGAAAAGGAAGAGGATTGAATAAGCACGTTTATTTATGTACATATAATAATAAAATAATGAAAGCGGTGAAAGGACAAAATATCGAAAAATCGAAAATAGCCAGCTTACCTGTGAAAATGCCCTCATCATCGCTAACTGCCGTAATGACATCATCATATGTTGGATTAATACCGTCAGTGACGGGTTCGTATGTAACCAAATCATCTGTAGCCGTCGTCATTAACATCGTTTCGTTGTTCGTTACGCCCATACTGCTTAACGAAGTCGGCTGAATAGTTTCCATCGCATCTGATGAATTTAAAATCGACGGTGCAGATGATATCGATGTCGTTAAGTCTTTTTCGACGATGGACGTCGAGATCAGCGATGTCGCATTGGATTCGTCGATCAGGGGCCCCGTCGTTGGAAGATCGGTGTTAAGACCTTGCGGAGTGTTGGAATCGTTTTGTGCTTGATTTGTTGATAATTCCGTAAAAGGTACTTCGGTCAAGTTAGCAGTATCAGTTTGTGGCAACGTTGCAACAGACGACGATGTCGCAGACGCAGTCGTGTTTGTTGACGATGGAGGTTCTTGTGACGGTGGTGGCGTCAATGTGGAAAGCACAGTCACAATAACAGTTGATATCGAAGTGAACGACACTGGTGGTTGCGTTACACTGTCTGCTGTAGTAAGGTCTGTGCGTAGGCCCACACCGCCGTCTGAGAATGGGACTGATGATTGTGCGTAGCTTGATGACGAAATCACTGCAGAAATGAAATGACCAAAAGATAAAGCAAACAAGTTATTAATATGCTGAGTGATATAATAAATTGGCAACATCGCTCAGAAAACATTGTACCAGCACTTTTCATGAAATAAAGCAAATAAAAAAATAATTAAATCTGATTAAGACACAAGACATCAAATTTGGCGTGAAGATAACTATGATAAATAGCAACACCTTTATTGTAAATACACTTATACTATAGTCGTTTATCTTGTTAATGCACTCTTTGGTGTCCTTTCCTCGACATGTCAAATTCTGCAGAGACAAAAAGAGAGCAAGACGATATTTTTATCCACGTCGATTGTCAAATGCAGGCAGGCTAACTTGACACTTTAGCTTATTGTTTTTATCATCACCTTCAAGGCAAAATCCCTCTCGAAGTCAAACCTTTTTCTCCGTCAACATCCAATTTTCTCCATGCACGAATTGGAAAGCTGAGGTAAGGTTTCAGGTGAACTGATCTGCAGGAATAATCTCCTCTACCACCCGCAAATAAACTCAACTTGACCGATGACCGCTAATACGTGTAAATATCCACTTTAGGCATTGATCTGTCGTCGCCCGGTTACCATGGAAACCAGCAACAAAACGGGTTAAGGTCGCCTGTCAAATAGTTCATGAAGTATGTCGATGAGCCAGACATTTCAGCATACCTCACAACTCCATAGGTTTACACAGGGAGGTATTTTAAACGTAGTGCATTTTGTGAGGTATTGTCTTGCTTTGAATTTGATAGGAGTTCAGGCGAATTAGGAAATATTAAGATATGGGGTAATTTAACTTACGCAAGGAGAGACTGTTTTAAAGTTTAAACCTCAGAAACAGAGCGCACAAGCACTACGGCATTGTGAAGTTGAAAAAGGTTCCACTAAATAAGAACTAAACATGTATTTTTATTACTGTAATATGCACCTGTCGCATTCGTATTAGACACCTTGACATGAATTGTTTTCAGCCTGTTAAATGCTCTTAACATATTTTCTATTCTTTTCTCTCTCTCTCTCTGTCTGTCTCTCTCTCTCTCTCTCTCTGTCTCTCTCTCTCTCTCTCTCTCTCTCTCTCTCTCTCTCTCTCTGTCTCTCTCTCTGTCTCTGTGTCTATCTCTGTGTGTCTCTCTCTCTCTCTTAGAACATTATTATTTTTCATGGGATCAAGGGCTGACTATATATATGAAAAGAGATTTAACAAAATTATAAAGTTAAATCGTTAGGTTCCGTCCTAGTTCATCAGGATTATCCAGAGGACACACAAGCCCGACTCAAATGTCCCTTGAAAGTTCAAATACCGAGAATACCGGGTGCGCATTTTTAATTGATTACAAAAGGAAGTAGATTTGTACTGCACGTCCTATCATAATAAGTCAACAACAAACAAATCATCAATTTTGCGCAAACTTGCTCCTCACCTTAAAAAAATTCAAATTGATATAATATCACTTTGATGATTTAACATGGTCTCTGAATTTATCTATTCATTCTATTATTTGGTTTTGGTGAAAGGGGAGGGGGAGGGGGTCTCGGATGGTGGGTCCACATGAATACAATCAAGCAACCAATCCTTCATTTAAACCATCCCGTCTGGGGTGATGAATATTATTTACTATGTCTATATTTCTTCACTTTGCTAAGCGCTCTTCGGGCACAGTACATCGACATAATGATCTCAAAGTTATAACAAAGCAATGAATACAATGTGCCCCTGAACACTCTCCCCGGCAAATTACTCCCTAGTACAAGTAAACTCAGATACAATGTTGCCCATAGAAGAGGATTTTTGTTTGTTTAACCTCTTTTCATGAAATGTTTGTAACAATATAATAAGATATATTCTTGATAGATAAAGTTTACATCTTCTCTGAGCTATATTAATGTATCTCACTGAGATTGATAAAAAAAAAGTTGAGAAGATGTAAACTTTTCCCATCAAGAATTAATTATATATATATATATATATTACAATCATTTCGAGGTACAAAATACAATTCTAACTTTATACGCAACAGTTTATATGAGGTTAGTTGTTTTAGGGAGTAATCTTCAGGGACAGGGGTTAGGGCCAATTTTTATTTATTGTGACGTCAAAATGAGTAAAAATTATGGAGAATAAATCATATTCTCATAATAATTTCATGAAAAGAGTTAAAGAAAAATTATTCCAACGTACGCCATTGTAGGTACCCCTGGAAAACCACCCATCCTATGATTACAACTTGGCGACATCCCCCAGACAATTCCCCCAGACTATAGGCTAATAGGGAAAAAAAATAAAATCTGGTATGAACGCTATCCAAACGTTCCACAAACAATCCTTGAAGTTTTATCGAAACTGACAACATCATTTTTCGATTCGTGTTCAGCGACGAAATTCACAAATTGGTGTTAGTTTTCTGTATCTACATGCTTGTTTTTTCTACTTGCATGTTCTTTTTCCTTCGGTCGGCTTTTTATTCTCCTGGGAAATATTCTGCTCAAGGGAATGGAAAACGAAAATAAAGAAATGAACTTGGAGAAAGGAAATTCCCATTAAAATCAGTGAACGAAGAGAAGATAACATGAAGAGGGTCGGACATTATTGTGATGAAAACTTGCGCTCGAGCGCGATATTTAAAAAAAAAAAAAAAAAAAAAAAAAAAAAAAATTGAAATTGATAATATACAGTTTAGCATGCACATCGAATCCTGCCACATACACTGTTTCATATTCCTTACGTCATTATCATAATTACTAAATATTACGTTAAGAAGATTGGTTATGGTTCTGTTTACTACCCACATAGTCGTTACTAAGATTATTTTTAAGATATGAATGTGTTAGCAAATCAAATAATACCAAGCTGGAAGAATTGTTGAATATACTTTAATTGTTAGCCTATGTTATATTTAACTCAATCATTGAGTTATTAATGTAATTATGTATTGAAATTATTGAAATAAAAACCTCGCTTGAGGATAAGAGAAGAAGAAAAAAAAATCATAATTACTCAGTATTTTTAATTGACATGATATAATTCATTCATAATCATTATACAATAAGCGTTGTTAACGGTGTTGGCTATTCAGCTTATTTATGCTCACAACGCTTTGGTTCATTTTCTTTAATATTTCATGAAAAATTTAATATTATATTCCCTATCATTGTCTAAAGCTTAAGTTGATGAGACGTGGTCAATGACTTTTGAAGTCATTTTACCGGACGTACATGTATCAAATAACTTCCGGTTCATCTCAAATGTTCCTTCCGCCCTTTAGAAGGTGTCTTTAAATATGAAAGAAATGAGGAAAACAAGTGGGATTCCCCGCCCAGGCACTCCACATGAAGGATTCAACTATATCCTTCGCCTTTATTTCCTCAAAGAAGTCATGATAGTAATATCATAGGTCGTTTCGACTCTTTAGAGAAGGAAATCACGTCACTTGACAATAATCAATAAGTTAATGGTTAACACTTTGTAAAATGATAGTTGTGATAGCCGTTGTGCACAGACGAATGCGTTTCCCCCTCAATGGCAAGGGGATATCATAATACTTATCTCCTTATTGCATAGACAGTCATGTCTAGTATATAGTTAGCACAATAAACATAAGGAGGACGGTTTTATTGATATCATGACCCCCCCCCCCCCCCCCCCCCACTTCCCTTTAGTAGGTTTCGCTGTCTAGTGCTAGTGGTAAACAATGCACAATCAATAGAGATATTCCAAACACAAAAAGAAGGGTCATGAGGGATGTGAATTTTTTTAAATTCTACCACCTCATTTGGTATGTTCTCTTGAAAATGTTCTAAATTTCATTTGCGCCATGGCACTTGTAAATACACTGTTGGTCATAATGATGGAATATTTATTTTTACCCCAGTTTAGGGAAGGATTTGAAAAAATTATTTATTTCTAATAGATCTAGATAATGGCATACATTCTCAGATTTTATTGAATATTAATTTGCGAGTGTTTGTTTTTGCGTGACTGCTAAATCATATGTGTGCTACTATGCTAATCAGCTAGGGAACCTACGTCCTTAAATCATAATTGACAGTAATGAGGATTAATGCCTCACAAAAGGGCACTAATATATAGCTGATCGACACGATTTTTATCCTGGGGCCTCACAGTAACAAGGCCATTGCTTAGCCCCTGAATCATGACTTTACGCAGTGTTTGCTAGGGTACGCGGCCCCTTCCACAAATCCCCCCAAACGAAGAAAATGCAATAAATTGTCAAAAATTCATTGCATTTCCCCCCGGCCCCCAACAGGAAAAATTCCTCTATGTGGCCATGCCTTGAACCATAATGCACGGCCCTACCGAATATTATTTTCTGTTGGGGGCCGGGGGGAAATGCAATGAATTTTTGACAATTTATTGCATTTTCTTCGTTTTGGGGGATTTGTGGAAGGGGCCGCGTACCCTAGCAAACACTGCGTACAGTCATGATTCAGGGGCTAAGCAATGGCCTCGTTACTGTGAGGCCCCAGGATAAAAATCGTGTCGATCAGCTATATATTAGTGCCCTTTTGTGAGGCACTAATCCTCATTACTGTCAATTATGACTTAAGGACGTAGGTCCCTTATCTGATTAGCATAGAAGAACACATATGATTAAGCAGTCACGCAAAACAAACACTCGCAAATTAATATTCAATAAAATCTGAGAATGTATGCCATTATCTAGATCTATTAGAAATAAATAATTTTTTCAAATCCTTCCCTAAACTGGGGTAAAAATAAATATTCCATCATTATGACCAACAGTGTACATCAAAGTGTGCTCGCTTAAAATTTGTGTTTCGTGTCCCCATATTCGGGAACAAAATGAATGTAATGAATATGAAGATACATGTATATACCCGCATTTCCATACGAGTTGGTGAGGTCACTGTTCTACTATAGACCCCCCCCCCCCCCGAAGCCAACATGACGACTGAGAGGTACAGTAATGTGATGCGTGTTATCTATCCGACTAATGAGTAGAATGCACATATC